AATAGCATACCATATTTTATCCAATCTAAGAGGCTCTCTGCAATGGCTTGGATCTTAAACGTCCCCTGCAGGCCCACATGGAACGGCTTGATCTATATCTTGTGGTGACAACAGGAGAGGGTCAAAATCAGGAACCAGGAGCCCAAATGGAGGTCATTAGGCTCCTGGGGAAATGCCCTCAGAGGGGATACTGGGACACTTGCCCTTCCTTTCTTTGTTCCCCAACAGCCAAGAGCTCTTCCGCCAGGCATTCTTGGCACTTATGTACTGGGCTGCCGCAGGCCCAAAGCAACAGAGACAAGGGACCATAGACTGAAACTCTGAAAGCCTGACCAAAACAAACATAACCTCCATTTAAATTGATTATTTTAAGCATTTATCACAACAATGCAAAACTAATAAGACGCACCATTATATTTTAGTCAAGCTACCTCAGTATTGAAAAAAGTATCCTGTTTGGACAATTACAGGCTTAGTCTTAGTTGCTAGGCAACATTATCTCTCATGATACTACTTTGCAAGTGTATAAAATAAACACCCCTACTGTTGAGGTCAGTCCTTGCGCTCATCAGGCAAGAGGTAACTCCACATGACTCCGGCTATTGTCTCTTGTCTTTATTTTCTAAATCCTCCGGGCGTTTTCTCCCGGGGAACACGAGAGACCACTGACTCCCACATTACATGAAATACAGTGTATTTGTTTTCTATTGTTGCATAGCAGATCTGTTAGCCCACAGTTCTACAGGTCAGAATCAGAGACACAGCATAGTTGAGCTCAGCATCTCACAAGGCTAAAATCAAAGTATCAGGTGACTGTGTTACGTCTGGGCAACAGTCTTTTTCAAGTATATGCATGATGTTAGCAAACTTAGTTTCTTGTAGCTGTAGGCCAAGATTCCTCTTTCTGTTAGCCAGAGGCCACTCGCCTCCTAAAGGCCATTTGTGTTCCTTGTTACAGCACTATATGTTGTCCTCTTTTCTCTTCAAAGCCAAGAGGGGATGATCTCTCTCATATGGAATCCCCTTTACAGTGACTCTCTTTCTCCAGGAAAAGCCACTCTTTCTGAAAGGGAGAAAGGCAATATACAAATAAACAAATATGTGCCAGATGGTGATAAATATTTTTTAAAAATCAAAAGAATGTTGCATTTGCTTTTTCCTCTAAAATTCTCTTCTAATAAAATTTCACATGGCTCGCAGCATTTAATATAGGAAGACCTTCTGGACCTCACTGCAGTCCAGAGGAGTCCACATTTGTAATCTCAGGGAAAAGTTATTGGAATTTCTGTAATTCCAATCTACCACTTCCAGTGCAATCCACGGTGAGAATAAAGACACTAAGGCATATTTGTAGTTGTAGGGAGCCAAGCGGGGGGGTCCTACTTCCAACTAGAATGATGGCTACCTGGAATGAAGGCCTCGACCCAGGGCGGAACCTGGGTTTTATTAATTTATGAAGAGGAAAGTGGCTCAGGGATGAGTGACTGAGACAAAGGCTGGAAGTATGTGAGTGCTGTGAGCTACGCTAGGTAGGGCGCATGCCAGCACCTCTGCAGTAGGCAGAGAGCTATGCAGAAAGAGTAATCTGCATATCAGAGGTTGAGTAAATATCTCATGTTCAGGAGTTGGTGCTTCAACTTTGGTTTTGGGGTTTTTTTTTAGGTATTGGGAATTGAACTCAGGACCTTGTGCTTGCCAGGCAGGCTCTTGTGCCACTGAGCCCCAGCCCCTGGTGCTTCAACTTTGATGTGTAATCTTCATGCTCTGAGATGTCATGCCTCTTTCTCGCGGTTCAATCCCAGCAGACAGCACAGCATCACTCCTTACTCGGTCTAGCTCGCACATACTAGTTGGGAGCTATAGTCGGGGCATCACTGACCTGTGGCATTGCTTTAGAGATTACACATCAGCACCTCAGCTAGACCCATTTGCATTGCTTAAAGCCAACTGAGGCGATAAAATAATATCCTAGCCAGCTCTGTACATATCAATACACAGAAGTAGGGTGAAATGCTCTTCTTTCAGGGAGGGCCGTCCAGGCGGTCCTCCACAATTTTAGTTTTGGTTCAGTGCCATTTTCTCAAAGAGGGCCCTTGATGGGCTGAAACTTTCTCCCCTTTCTCCTCCCTCATCTCTTTCAACCTCTTTTCCTTGTGCTATTTTCATCAGCATACTAACCACTTTTTGAAATAATTTCTTCTATTTACTATTTTTGGGTTCCCATAATGACACTGATAAAATCAGGGTGCATTATCTCTACTGCCTGATTATCATCTAGCCATTAGCCCCTAATGTTTCATAGATACTCCATAAATATTTAGGAAGACACAAGGAAGGGAAATCAGAGGGAAGGATACGGAGAAATTTACAGTATCTGTGAGGGTAATCTAGTCAAAATATTTATATTTATTTACTTTAGCGTAAAGGGAAACGATAGGATAAACCCAGTGCTACAGCAGAACCTTAAAAAGACAGGGTTATAAACCAGTCACTTCCTATGCCAGTAAACTTAAGAGATCAAGAGTGAGAAGGATGAATTAGAATTAAATAGATTCAAACCTCTGGTGCTGCCCCATTTTGTTTTTCCATTTTAGCCTTTAGAATAGGGTGGGTGAAATTCCAAGACTCTCATTTGCAATTTAGCTTGCTAATAGCAGGAAATTGTGATTCTCTATCTCCCTCTCCCTTCCTCTGCTCCCCACCCCACTTCGACTTCTATGATCCCATTTTTTTTATCTCTCTGAGGCTTTCCTAAGCACTAGAATTTAATTAACAGGTCTTTTGTTTTTTTTGGTGCTAGGAATTGAACTCAGGACCTTGTGCTTGCCAGAAAGGCGCTGTGCCACTGAGCTATCTCCTGGCCCCTAAATAGATCAGTTCTAACCCTGGGCCTTTCCTTTTCTCTTTCTATTCCCCATCTTCTTTACTACATATTTTGTTTATCCTACTGTGGTTTGTTTCTGAGAGTTAATCTAGGTCATACCCTCTGTCTAGCTGTGCTTCCCTGCAGACTATAGGATCTTGCTCTGTCAACAGTAATAGAAGCAAGTCTCTTCCTGGGCTTTGCCCCAGGCACTCTCCTGCTAAGGCCACTATGGTGGTGGTGGGGGGGAGTATCCTCAGTTTTTCAGGTTGCCTGACAGCTCTTTGCACAGTATATAGTTAGGAAAATTTAAATATACTTCTTTTATCTAGTATACAATTTGACTCTTATGAGCAAGTTCACGTGTATATAAGCATACATATACATAAAGATATATATTATATATACAATTGTGTACTGTCATTTAAAATAAAGATGTTTATTAATAAAATGTCAAAACATTACCATTTCAGAGACTAAAACAAAAACCTGTCCCATAGGTGAGCCCGTGATGCCAGATAAGCAACCTATCCTGTAGGTTGGCATGCTACTGATAAGCACTGTGAAGTTTCCAGGTATCTGGAGATGTGCAATTTTGAGAACAGAAGGAGGAGCACAAAAGGTAATGGGCTTGATATAATTAAGCAGGGATCACTGAGGATCTGGGTGAGCCACTCCTATCCATTCAGCTGTACACAGGGGCACCGCTCTGTAGGAGGTCGTGATGCCCAAGCCGCAGAGCATCAGTTCAAACACCAGTGAAAGACAACATGAGAAGCACCTGGAGTCAGAGGTCTCCCACAATGGGAGGCACCTAAAGTTAAAGGTGTCTGACCCTTTAAATACTGAGTTGTGTCGAGGCTCTTTGAGAGTTCCTCTTCCTGGGTTCCTCCTCTTTCTGCCTGGGCCTGCTACCCTCCATAGTCTTCAATAAATATAGCTACCTACCACTAAGAGGTGTAGGCTTGGCAATTCTTTCCTCACCTTATACAAGAACCTGGACTATTTTGGTCCATTCTACTGACAGATCCATATCTCTATATGAGAAAGGAATTCTAATTTAGTAAAAATATGATACATTATAAAAAATCTATCCAAAATACATACAAACTTTTAGGTAGAATGAAAAATTCTCATTCTATTGTGTTCAACTTATTTTTTTTCCAAAGAAAGGTGACGGGGCAGTCAATGAAAAGAGAATTAGACGAGCAGTCCCTAAAAGCGCGTTCTGGTAATCTGAAATTTGATTCGCTGCATGACTTCCACCAAGTCACACTGACCGGAAGTTCCATCCCCTCACCCATAAAGGGGATGCACTTATGCCTTTAAACAATAAAATTTTAAAAAACGTGATTCTATTAAAATATGACAATGCCTCACAGGCAGATGCCAAAAAATATTTGTTAAATGGAATCCCTGCCAGCCTTTGGTTTTTTTATTTATAAAATAAAGAATAAAAAATAAATACAAAAATAAAACAAAATAATTCCTCTTGTTGCTGTGAAACTAAGGATGTGCGACACAATCCACCGTCTCCCGGCTCGCCAGCGTCCCGCGCGCTCAGCGAGCAGAGCCAGCGGGGCTGCGCAACTCCGCGTCTCGCGTCCTCTCGCGCGCCGCCGCGCCGGCCTCAGGATCCGCCACTGCCCTTACCTGAGCCGGAGCGGGCGGGCGGCCACGCCCACGCCGGAAGCTTGCACCCAGAGGCTGTCGGGAAAGGCAGTCGGCCCCGCGCTGCGCGGCCGGCCCCGCCGCTGACGTCACCGCCTGCCCTTTGACCCCTGCGGCCCGCCCCCTCCCGCTTCTCCGTAGCCGGCAGCGGTGGCGGTGGCGGCGGCGGAGTCTCTGTGACCATGGAGGGGTTCCCGGCGGCGGCCGCGTCCCGCCTGGCGGAGGCGTCCTGCTCTTCCTGGGGGACCGGCAGGTGAGGGCCGCGGGGGGCGCGGGGCGCGGGC